GGATTTGTCAGGAGAGAAACGCTGAGAACATCCCCATGTTGCATTTGTGTCCCTGGCACTGAAGGACTTTGTGTTTGTCCGTCTGCAAGCGCAAGATCTCAGGGGTGAGGAATATTGCCATGGATCAGCTCCATGGGCATTGGGCTCTGCCAAGGGGCTGTTCCATCTCCTGTCCCCCATGGGCAGGAGATCCATGAGGGGCTCTTCCTCTCTTGCTCTCTCTGGCTTTGGCTCGGGCTCTGGCTCTCCTGGGATTGCGGTTTGGGTTCGGGATTATGGCTCCTGCAGGATGGTTACAGATAACCACAGCTTTTTTTTTTCCCCACAGGCATCCTTGACCAAGGCGAGGGAGTCTTGATCATCTTTGACGAACCCCCCGTAGACAAAACTTACGAAGCTGCCCTTGAGACTATTCAGAATATGAGTAAAGTAGTGGATTCGCTCTACAACAAAGCCAAGAAGTTAACATAGGTGAGTGGAGGCGGGAGCTGGAGGTCACAGCTGCTCCGGACCTGTCGCTCCTCCCAGGCCAAGGTGCTGTTTGTGTCCTTGTGGTTTGTTTTCTCTCCTCTCGATTGACCTGGCTCTGTTTTCTTTTTGCAGAGTTGAATTTGCTAGCTGTCATTTGGAGAGTGTGTGTGACAGGAGAGTGAAACCTTTGGGAAAATGTTAGGAGAATTTTTTTTCTTTTGTTTTTTTCCCTTTTTTTTTTTTCCTCTCTCTTTGTTCTACTTTTCGCTCGGAAAGTTTTTAAACTTCCTCATCCGGTGCATCTTGTATTCCATACGATGCGTGTTCCAGTTTCCATGTAATCTTTACTGGCCGAACTTTGTATCTGGGTTGGGTAGGGGAGGTGGGGGGGAGATATTGTTTAAACAAAGAGGGTATTCTAAATAAAAGGAAAAAGGCTTACACTACCTAAACATGTGCTTTCCACTTCCTGAGGGATGGCAGAGAGCGAAGCAGGGACAACGTTTTGTTACCAGTAGGTGCCCAAAACAAGTTTGTCTCATCTTTCCCTCTTTGCTCTGAAATCTGATGGTGTATAAGCAGCCAAGCTTATTCCATTTATACTGAAGCAAAAAAACCCCCTCAGACCCCAAAATGTACAGACTGCTGGTTTATTTTTAAATCTTGAAGGCCTCGGATCCCCTCAAGCAGCTCCACAATGATTTTCCTGAAGGCTCACACCCGAGGAACCTGTCTCAGAACTGTCATTGTG